CCTAATCTATGAATTTTTACCTAAGATTGAGTATAATCTCTGTTCTTATACCACCACCACACTGTGACACACTTGTATCGTATTAGTGGTGGATTATTAGAGCAAATTCTCTATGTGATTTTCCAAAGACAATGCAAAAGTGATGTAAAATATTCCTTAATAAGGATGGAATTCAGTTTACCTGCCTAGTCTGCATTTTAAATCTGAAGTACATTATTGTCTTTTTTTTCAGAGAATAAGGTGTCAAAATTTTACCTTCAAATCAATCTATTTTCTAAAGCACCCTGATTTTATATGAAATGAAATAATTTACATAAATACAAGGTATGTTAGAAACTTTTCAAAGTTGGAAGTGATGTACTACATGCCAACTGCCATTTCAGTTTTTGGAAAGATATTTATTTGGTAAAGGTCAAAGTATTAGGAACAGAAAATATGATTACTATTAATCTATTGTCTTTGCTCTGTCTGGGTAAAATTATACAAAACTAAGTTTCAAAGAAAACATATTTTGAATTTTCCTTTAGTAATAGTGCCAACTACACAGCAATCCCTGTCTTAAAAAACATACAACAAAAAAGTTTTAAGGCTGTATTTAGGTAAAATAATCCAAGTTTAATACTATGAAAAATAAAATCCATAATCATTTCTAGTTTGCTTCCTTATTTCGAGTTAACATAATGCATTAATGTAACACTTCAGAGGAAAAACATTTAGGTTCTACAGAACAGGATAATTCTGCCATTCACGTTGTAGACTACTTTGTGGTAGCCACTGACCATCATTTCATTGGCTTCCCTCCACCAAAGAAAGGTAGAAAACAATCTTTTACTTTACTCGTTCCACACCTGAGCCCTGACTGCTGCACCCACAGTATGGGCAGTTGGACTAGATAATCTCTGCGTATGCCTCAGAGTGAAGCACACAGAGATGTGCAAAAGCCAGAGAGTGCACAGACCAAATCAAGCTTTCAGTGTCTTTTTATCTCCTGAAGCGATGCAGCGCTGATGCCAGGTTCTTACCCACACTCAAATGTAAGTCAACTAATTCCTTTGTAGTCTCATCATTCAATTCTGGAAAGTAACTGTTTTCAATCCCCTCTGTATAAAATTCTATTGTTTTGTTCTCAGTCACTTCATTGGTAAAATACTTTGTTGGTAAAACAGAAAGTAACACTTAGCTAGTAATTCTTTAGGAACCAGAATGGTAATAGACTTATATGTATCTCATCTGTAAGTACTCAGATTACATGACATTCTTTCTTTAAGTGTAGTCATGCACCATTTCGCTTTGTCATATACTCTTATGTTTTGTTTCAAAATATTTATTTTCAAAATATTACTCATAACATATAACTATGTTATAAGGTTTCATCTTTTAATTATAAATAGCTGTAATAATTATGTGTATTACAGGGTACAGTGTGATGTTTTAACGCATATATACTATGTGAAATGATTGGTTTGAGTGGCACTATTTTTATCATTGCTACAAAACTGTAACAGTGATAAAAAATCCTTTAGCTTTCTTTTCCTTTTCATTTTCCTATACAAGAGTACTTTATAAAAGTTCATTAAATTCACTGTCACCTCTTTTTTGCCTTCCATTCTTATCATAGAATAGTCTCCAAATTATTGCAGTAGAAAAAGTAAACCAAACTGTTCTTATCAAAATCACTAGGAGCTTTCCACTTGCCAAGTCTAAAGTCATTCATTTGCCTTGACTTTATTTGCCCTCAGAGCAGCGTCCCACTCAGAAGGAGTATCTATTTTGTGAAATCATCTTATGTCTCTCATTTTCATACATCATAGGATAACCCCACTCACTTCAATTTGCCAGCCAACATGTCTTTAACTTCTTCCTCTTCCTCTTCCTCTTCCTCTTCCTCTTCCTCTTCCTCTTCCTCTTCCTCTTCTTCTTCTTCTTCTTCTTCTTCCTCCTCTTCCTCT